CAATGAAATGACCCAATGACATCGCCTTTGGCTTTGGGATATTAGTTGCGGTTAGGATCTGCCTCCTGGATCCCAGGTCTCAAAGCAATCGACTAAACATACCATTAACTTTATTTTACAGAATATAAAGAAAACATTCTCGAAAGGAACACAAGGTCTTGAAGACCACCAAGATCCGTGCTCTCTAGGTTCCGACATTCTCACAGACCTGAGCTCTTCATCTCTAGGGAACTGCTCTCCAGCAGCCTGCCTGGGAACCAGGGGTACAAGGCGGCTTTCCTGGTCTGCAGGAACCCTCAGAGGGGCATGAGTTTTTTTTTTTTTCCCGGGCCTGGAGGAAAAGTAACAACCTATACTACACTATGACACCTCACATAACTCCCTACCTTTTGACAATCAAATGCCATAGATACATTGTGGAGCCAGAGTTAACCTCATTATTCATGCTTTCAGGGCCTGTGGATCACAGAAAGCCACTGATATTACAAATTCCAAATCTTCTGTATCTCTATGCCACACACGCATAGAATGTTTCTGGAAAGACATACAGAAAAACAGAGGACAGTGGTTGCCAACTGAGAAGAGGCAGCACATAAACTGGGGACGCGAGAGGGAGGGAAATTTACTTCTCACCATATTCTTGCACAAATTTTAACTCACATTCGTGTATTACCCCCCGGAGGCTGAATAAACACGTTGGACACCTTTTCATCTGTTTACATCGCCCATCTCATCACCCCTCCCCCGTCCCCTTTTCCTCCCATTCCTTCCACCTCTCACAGCCTCTGCCCACCATGCGCCAAGATGTACAAGCTCTTGATGAACTAAATGGTAGCCAGAGACTGAGCAAAGAGCCCCACGTAGTAAGAAGAGACGCCAAGTGGAACCAGGAAGTTTTTTAAGGTCACGACCTTCACCGAGCCAACCCAACACACCTGGCAACTCTTCACCTACATGGAACCCAATGTGAAACAGCAAATGCTTTGCCTTCTCATCTTTTGGAAGCAAACAGGTCAAGCATCCTAACTTCAGAATCAACCAGCCCATTCTTTCCCAAGCAAGTGTATCATGCAAGAATTTACTCTAAAGAGATCTAAAGCTACACAGTATTCCACCCCCAAAGGAGGCTCTTTGACCCAGGGCCTTGTGCTGTAACAGACACTTTATTTTCAGTCTCAATTCAGGACACTGAATACTCCCTGGCCTCTAAAAAGCAGGAATTATGAAGAGAGAGAGCTCACTGGAAGGAAAATAAACCTGTAAATCCTGTTAGGCTTTGCGCTTCATTCCAAAGGATTTTTCCCCAAAACAATACCATTAGCAATACCATCATGGCCCTAAAAGGGAGGATTCTGTACAATAGAATCCCAGTTCTTTATTCAAAATAACCCCCAGGACAGCACAGCAAAATCAGGACTCCACAATCCTCACCACCGAGAGAGCCAACTCATTTTCACTCTCTGTCTGTGGGCTCGCCCTGATCCTCCTTATAAATACCTTTTCTGTAATTTGGATGTGCTTCCTACCCTCCAGGCTTCTCTTCTTCCAAGTGGGCAGTCGGTCCACAAATATTCATTAAGGGCCTCCCAAGTGCCAGTCACAGAGAAGAGAAAGGCTTGATCCATGCCCTCAAGGAGCAAACAGGGAGATGAGACAAACAAGCAATTATAACACAAGGCTGTTAGTGCTGTAACCAAGCTCAAAAGAACTCTTCCCACCGGAGCCTGGGAACCCCAGGAGATGTTCCTTGGATGCTGAAGAAGAGAACAGAGGTTGTGCAAGCACAAGACAGGAGTGGGGAAGACCATCTCAGGCAGAGGAAAAGCAAGCATGATGATACAGAGGCATGGAGTGAACACAAAGTCAGGAAGAAACTCAGTGTGGCAAGAACTATAGAATCCCCCTTCTTGGACTTGGCCCCTTTTAGAAGGGGCTCAACTTCTAAACTCTGAACTTGGGCAGAAAAGTCCTAATATCTGATAGCAACTTGTTTTCCCCACTATTACCAGACTTTATTATTACAAACATGTCTGTACGGAATCATGGCAGAAACCAGTCTCCCACGTTAGAGAACATGAGGAAGACTATGATCACAAGAACCGTGCCTAGTTTACTGCATAGGTTAGTGGAACCAAAGAAAAAGAACCGACCGACATGCCAACACAGGGCTCCTTAGCTGTAGTTGGTATCTCCCTGCAAAAGCCCTCCTGACTCCTCTTGGAAGCTGGTGGTCTTAATGGCACCCCTCCAGCCTCTTTGGTCAGGCAGCCTCAGCTTCCAGCCCTAATCTGTGTTGCCAGGCAGCCTCTTAACCTCACTCAGAGGTCAGAGGGCAAGAAGCTGCAGAGTGTCTGAGCCCACTGACCTTAGCCCTCCATCGCCGGTGCCTTCCCCCATCACAAACCTCTAACACCCCACTGTAGAGCTACAGCTGCTTTATTGTGTCCACGTGTATTTGCTCCTGTCCAGCACATGTCTGTATCTCCATCTGTTTTATCTACTCCTTACATTGTAAACTTTCCGAAAGCAGGGATGAAAAATTCCCCACCCTCCCTCCTTTGCACGCCCATCTCTCTTCAGAACCACACTCCCTTCAAGCGATACTGTGGGAGAACAGTGCAATTCCTTAAGTTTTAAAAGTTAAAAGGGAGGGGGGATGAAATGGAACTTGGCTTAGAGCTAGAAGCAGAATGGCCCATATAATTTATAGTCTGCACCCTGACACTTGAGAGTGAAGACAGTGCTCTCATAAGCAGCAGGAACAACTTATAAACTAGGTCTGGCCCAGGGAAAACAGAGGCAAATGGTCACCCTTGTTAGAAAGGTCATTCCAAATAGAAGAGTTATTCCAGAGCTCCAAGAGGGGCACACCAAACCCCTTCAGTCCCTGACTCTTGTGCCTGAACCTAAAGGGGCTGCATCAGATATGCTTGTGGCAGAAAGCCCAGGACCAGGAAGTTCTTCCTTCCTTCTCACTCAGATCCTTAAAGATTCAAGTTGATCCCTCTTTTATTAACCTCAGGGCCTCAGAGAAAACACTGCCCTGGGCCTTCACCCTTGGTAGGAATTCCTCATTATGAGTTCGACTGCTAGCTCTCCATCCTTCAACTGAACCAAATTCAATCTGGCTGGCTCAGAAATAGAAAAGCCAAGGGTTTGGGAGTCGTTCCCAATGAGAACACAGTTCATCTTTAACTTGCCCCACTTCCCCAGGGGCCCTCACAAGCCAAACCCAAGGAAGAAATGGTACCTGTATGCATACTGTTGAGACTAGGATGCTCTGCCCTTAGCCAAAACTACCCCTGCAGGGGACCTGAGCTCCAGGAAGAATGGACTCCCA